GAAAACCCTAATTGTCTTTTGTGTCCCTATTTAAGGAACATGATGGCCTCATTTCCAGCCACGATTTCCAGCCTCCAATTCCCCTCAAACCCTAAATCCTGTTTCCATAGCTTGTGTGAGCATTTGTGGCTTATTGGGTGTTCTTGTGGAGTTCTTTTGTGAAGAAGGAGCCTTGAAGGAAGAAGAGCTAGTGTCCAAGCTTTTGGATCTGAGTTTTTCTGTGGTTGGTGCATCATCCAAAGGTATCAAGCTCAAAGCTTTCTCATTGTTTTGATTAGTTCATGTTTTGGTCCATTTTTAGGGTTTATGTCACAAGCTTGAAGCTTTATGAGTTTGGTGAACTCCAGAGCATAATACATGTCCTTTTAAGTGTTTTTAGTCGTTTGGATTCATAAAAATGAGATCTTGGTCGTCAAGATCGCTCCATGCATGAGATATGTGGACCTTTGTGAGTAAAGGATCAGAGTTTATTAGTTTTAGACTTGTCCAGCCATGCTAAGGCTTAGAGTCACCAACTTTGTGAAGTAATAGGCTCTAGTTAGCCCAGATATGAGATTGTAGCAATTGTCTTAATGGATTAAGACCAGGAGAGTAAGAAAAGTGAGTTTGGGACGTACGTCATGCGTACCCCAGTTACGCTCAACGTAGCGTTAAGTCCACCCCGATGCATGCATGACCAGTTGTACGCCCAACATACGCGCTGGGTGTTGACTTCCATTGACTTTTAGGGTTTTGGTCAAGTTGAGGACTTTGGAGGCCATGGAGGGTTAAAATGGTCTTTTACCCTTATGAGGTTTAGTAGAGAGACTTAGCCAACATCTTTGAGGGTTGTTAATATCAATTTTTAATTAGAGGTATATGTGACATATGTTAGGCGGAGTCTAAACCCAGTTCGGGTGCGGAATTTACTTGTTTTACTTCACGAGGTGAGTCTTCTCACTATACTTATCTGTGTGGTAATTTATGTGTGACCGGAGGGTCTTATTCGTGTTATTGACCGGAGGGTCTTATTTGTGTTATTGACCGGAGGGTCTTATTTTCTTATACTGAGATATATGCTATTATGCCTTCTGTCTTTGTGACTTATGTTGTTATATTATTCTGTGTATATATTGAGTTATGACCGTAGGGTCCATACCGAGACGTGAGTCTAGTGGATCTTCACTGAGACACATGACCGGGTCCTTATCGAGATATAGCCATGAGAGGCTAATTATTTGTGTATGTGGTATTTTTGGGAACTCACTAAGCTTCATGCTTACAGTGTTTGTGTAAAATTTGTTTCAGGTACATCTCAGGATCGCGGGAAGGCGCCGACATGATTGTACACACGAGCTTGATGGTTTGTGTTTATGTGGATTCTGGGATATTGACAAACAATTTCTGATGTTTTGTGTTTGAGAAAAATTCAATTTGGCATGAGAAATGTTAAACCATGTTTTGTGTGAACTTTTAAAAATGAAAATTTTGTTTGAAAATTTAGAGTGTTACATTAATGCTACATAACCCAAAAGTGTGTATCGAAACCTAACTATTGACAAACACTCAATTAATACGTATTTTAAACAAAAACCCATATACGTTGCAGATAAGTTCATTTGATATTTGGACTAGGTTTTACGTTTCGGAAATTGTTTTACCACTATATGACATGAAAAAAAATGTGAAAATGTATAAGGTAGAAAGAACACACAGGAAACATCTGAATCTCTTCACCATCCCACTCCGCTACACTCATTAGGACAACAACCTCCTAACTACTATGAGTTAAGCAAAGTTGATGTCATTTTTGTTAGAATCCACAGCCTCACAAATAATGTTCCGGGTCCTATGTATTTCGGACGGTCCGTTTTCAATACTGGTGGTCAATTTTGTAAGGTAGTAGTATGGGTGATTTCCTTTAACAGTAATTTAACATAGGGTCCTTTTTATTAATATCTCAATTCTAAAATTGGCTTATTCTTATAATACTTTCATATGAAGTTAAAATTAGTGGTGACAGATCGAATATGACTTTCAGTTATTACGTCACTTGACTAACCCATATACGAAGATTAATATAAGTAATGGGCCTTATATTGGGACTTAATATGGACCATCCCCATACATAACAGCCCATATAATTTTCTGAATTTTGAAAATCAAAACGAGTGAAGTATTATGGTCGTGCCAAGTCCAAAATGATGCATCTGTTATATGAAACCCTAATTTTTGTTGTTTTTTAAAAGTGACATAAATATTGAAAATATTGTTGGGATGTATAACTACTATATTATTGTAATGAAGTAAAACCTTATTATAACTCTGATATTTCATAGTGTGTAATTTCATTGACAAATTATCTCGGTGTTGTGAATGATGAATCCCACAATTGGACCAAAGCATGCATTGTGACCTAATTAGGGATTGCACATTCAAAGGTTGGAGTTTGTTCTTATCCAACTATGTTGTTTTCCAAAAAGTAAATCCTTGGTGTTTTAAATATTTTAGTTTGTTTATTTTTTAAAATATAATAACTGAAAATATTGATTTTATGTTTCTGATAATGGATATAGACCTAAGAAATATTGAGACGACTTCAACACTTAATGTGATTCAACACTATATTTTGGGAAACAGTCTTAGCTTCTTAGGTGTTTGTGTTATGTAGTATTCAAGTACAAACAATAACTCAAGTTAATTTGTAAACTTCTATATAATTTGATATATTCTTTCAAAAAATTTACAATTGTAATCTACTTATTTGTTTTTAGAATCTTAAACTAGATTCAAATCAACAATTATTTGTGACAATTTGGTTTTGCATATTTGTTCCTCAAAGGCATTTAATTTTTTAAACCGAAGAACGGTTGGTGGGGCGGCCGTCTTGGCGTCTTTCTAATCATTTCAAGAACCTCCCAAATCGCCAAAATCAACTACTAATTGATTTTCTTTTTAATTTCCATATATATAATTTCTCCACTCACTTACTTCTTTATATATTAAGTATATTTTTTATTCATATTTGTTAATACAAAATGCTAGAAAAACCCAAGTTTGTATGCAATGAGCTTTTAGTGTTGTACATAAAAAAAATGTGAATTATTATTATTATTATTATTTATTATTAAAATCGGTTGTGAATCCTAATCTTTTTAAAAATGTATTGAGAGAGAGAGATACCAATAGTTAGCTTTCGGCTCTCCATAAAAACCAAAGGTTCGATAAGGTTGTGGGGAGTGGTCACAGTTAAGCCGTTGGAAAAACGTTGTCAACACAGCGACAAATCAGCTCCACCACTACCTCACCACCAATTCACTATACATTGGAAATGGTTACCACTCCACAATATTTTTTTTTATAATTAAATTAAATAAAAAACATAATAAAATATTTTACATTAATTAAAACCACGTTACATTAATTAAAAAAATAGAAAATTAAACCTAAAAAAAAAAGTTAAAGCTAAATTACTAAAAAAATATAAAAAAACATAGAAAATTAAACCTAAATTACTAAAAAAACATAATATATATATATATATATATATATATATATATATATAAAAGTAAACCTAAATTACTAAAAAAACATAAAAAATATAGAATCTAGTTGCGATATTTGTCAAGAACTTGTTAATTTTTAAAAACATGCTTAAATTTTTCGGGTTAAGATTCGGAAGCAGTACCGTGTTTACAATTTGAATATCGGTAAGTGCCATTTTTCGCCGACGAGCTTCTTCCGTTGATAGAAATTTTCTTTCTAAAAAACTTACAGTTTTGTCTATTTTCTCCGCTCGTACGTCCTCGTTGGTTGATTTTCCGCTTGAAGACGTCTCCTTTCTTGCCTTGTCCTTGTCCGGTGGTCGACGAAGCTGGACGTCCAGTGGACCCTCCCCCTCGGTGGCGTCGAACTCATCATTAAGGTCGATACTAACACCAATGTCCGACTCAGAAGTTCTTGCCCTTTTGTTGGAGTCGGTGGTAGATCTCAGATGCGTCGTTTTCGGATAAAGGACCCATTTTGGAGCATTATAACAAACTTCTCACGTTTTTTGGTTGGCGAATGGTTTACGATTGTTGGTAATTTTGTTTGTTGTATTTGGAGTGGGTGGGGTATTTTGATTTAGATCCATAGGTAGAAGATAAAAAAATATATGAGAAGAGAGTGTTTTTTGTTGAATATGTGTGTTTGTTTTGAAAGAGTGTGTGTTTTAGTTTGAAAATTATGTGTAAAATGAATGTATATAAAGAGAGAAATTAAAGAAATAATGAATTGGTTTTTTTAAATGCTTGAAACGGTCGAAATTGAGCAACGGACGAATACAAAGGCTAGCCAATGATATTGCACGTCTTCTTCCGCATTACCACCCATGTCACACCCAACCCACCCACCCTGGCGGTGTTCACGTGTCTCCAGGGGTCCAACTCCGCATTTCACGTGTGGAACAACTACCACTCCAGATAGCCTAAGGATAGACTATAATGTTAAACCACAACTAACTTAAACAGCCTCTTTGATATCATGCAAGATATCAATGGAACCGATCCATTTATTTACATATTAAATATATATTCAAGATTTTAAACCACCCCTCCATATATATATATATATATATATATATATATATATATATATATATATATATATATATATATATATATATATATATATATATCAAGCTTAACATCTTCGGGTAACATGTTGATTCTTTGCATTCTCTATCCCGTATGAAAAAAGGAAATTGTTTCATTCACATAAACCAAAAAGAATTTCGCTTTTTCTTCAAAAATAGAAGCATGGCCCACAATATAAACTAATAACATCTTTCAATTTTCAAACCTGACTTATTATTTATTGAATGGCATTTTAACAACTAGTTTCGGATGAGTAGTGGATAGGACAACAAAGTCAAAGAGATAGGCTAAGTGGACAAGCTTTGCATGCTTGTAATTTTCAGTTGCACTTGCAAAGACTCCCCTATATAAAGATGGTTAGATAGTTCAGATACTTGTTCAAAGGTACAACCTTATAAAGCATTGAACTTATGGCATCTCATAAACTACTTTGCATCTTTCTCTTTTTCCTCCATTTTTATTCGGGTATTCTTATTTCTACCCCACACTCTTGCTTTTACTTTATGTAACCATGGTAGAGTTTTCATTTTTAGAAGGTTTCAATAACTGTCTTAGAAGCAAAAAAGGGTGTTTTAACTTTTAATGCATTATTTTTGGCTTTGTTTAGTAGAGATCTACTTCCATATGTTGTTATGTTTGTTTCGTGAAAACCAGTATTAACATACATAAATTATAAATTTTACGATTGTCATTAATATTGTTTATATTTACATAGTTAATATTGTTTTTTGAAGGTCATAGTGAATTACAACTGAATTACTACTCAGAAAGTTGTCCAAACGCTGAAGAAATCGTGAAACAAACTGTTATAACTTTGTATAAAGAGCATGGAAACACCGCAGTTTCTTGGTTAAGAACCCTCTTCCATGATTGCATGGTTAAGGTACAACTTATTTACTTGTTAACCCTTATTTTCTTAGAGTCAAATTTATGAAATTCAAGAAAATATATAACCTTATAATTATACATTATACACTAATTAATAAACGGAAATGACAGTCATGTGATGCATCAATATTATTGGAGAGCATAAATGGAATCCAATCAGAAAAGATATCAAAAAGAAACATGGGAATGAGGAATTTCAAGTACATTAACACAATCAAAGATGCTCTTGAATCTTCATGTCCCATGACTGTTTCTTGTGCTGATCTTGTTGCACTTGCCGCTAGAGATGGTATTGTTATGGTATGTAAATTGTAATTATTCTAATCTTTCTTTATAAATACACAATATAATTCTTGATTCATATATATATTTGGTGTTAATTTATTAATTTATTTGTGTCATGCAGCTAGGAGGACCTCATATTGAGATGAAAACTGGGCGAAAGGATAGCAAGGAAAGTCATCTTGCAGAAATCGATGCTATGCTACCTAACCATAACGATAGCATGTTGTATGTTCTTGATCGCTTTCAGTCCGTAGGGATTGATGTTGAAGGAACAGTCGCTCTCCTAGGTAAAAATCAGAATTTTTATATTTACTTTTTTTTTTTAAAGTTTTATATTAACATCATATTCATTTGCATACGAATCAAGTTTTAGAAGGTATAAAAACGTAGTATATATAAGATACTTTCTATAATAATGGTAGCTAAACTAATTGATCTTTGTAATATTTTATTATGAGATTGGGTATAGAAAAGAATAGTTGTTAGAATAGTTGTTTTCTAAAATTTTGAAATATTGAGACACAATAATATAGTTTCAAATTATTGAAAAATGTGTAATTACTCCACACGATTTGGTCAACACCACCCTAGAGTACATATCTTGAATTATCAAAAATTTGTTAGAAAAAATAAAAAAGAGACGTATTGAAACAAAATTTAGGTACTCATGTTCAATGAATATTATATGATAAAATGGATAATCATTATAGAAATGTCCCAAAGACACCAAAATCAATAAATGTGCCTTCACGGGAGCAGCAAGCACAAAGTGACATAAGCACAAAGTGACATGTTTGGAGTTTGGGATAAAACATATAACGTGAGTTCCATGCTTGACAAATGACAATGATATTGTTGGGATTTTCCCAATTAGGGAAGCTCATTGGTAACCAATCAATTTCTCGATCTATAAACTGCTAAATTTCTTATTTACCTCACATAATGGGCTTTAGGCTATTATGTATGTGTCGATTGGAGTGTCGGGACTCGACCTTTTGGGGTCCGAGATAAATAAATATAAAAAGGATAATGAATATAATTAAACAAAGTATTATTATATAAGGGTTCCCATTATATAATAGTCATTTCGTTTATGACAGGTGCTCACTCAGTAGGCAGGGTCCACTGCATCAACCTTGTTGATAGACTCTATCCAACTGCTGACCCGACCTTAGACCCGAATTTTGCTGAGTATCTGAAGCGTCGTTGTCCCCATCCTGACCCTAACCCTCTTGCAGTGGAATACTCGAGGAGTGACCTACAAACACCAATGATTTTAGACAACATGTACTACAAGAACATCAAAAATAACAAGGGACTGCTTATCGTTGATCAACAACTTGTTTCGAACCCGATCACATCTCCATATGTTGACAAAATGGCAGCTGATAATGATTACTTTCACGATCAGTTTGCTAAGGCTCTTCTCACTTTGTCAGAGAACAACCCGATAAGCGAGGAAGAAGGCGAGGTGCGAAAAGATTGTCGCTTTGTAAATCATAACTAAAAATACCCAACTTGTGTAATTTCTCGACCATTTCCAGTAATGTTTATCTTTTTATATGTGATATAATTAAGCTTATGTCACTAATATGAAAGAATGGGCTAAATGCTTGTTTTTTTGCAACGTGGTTTCATCTTTTTTTTTTTTATGCAATAAAATGGTTTTTTTGTATGAAGTATATCAGTTCGTTTTATTTAGGACCAAAGTAGTACTAACAACATTACTAGTTTTGCGCGAATTAAATCATTTTTTAACCGCAAATATAATATATAATCTACTCCTAAACTAACATCTAAATTCACCTACGTCCACGACGGAACTTGAACCCTCGACCTCAAAGATGAGGGCACCACATGATACCGCTGTGTTAGAATTGCATTTTTTTATTATTCTATTAACACTTTAAAAGAGATTTTTCTCAACTCGTTTACTTATAAACTAAGTGAATTTACGTGCGTTGGGCAGCGTTAAAACTATGGTGACTTAAATTATAGCAAATATATTACATAAAATTAAATAAAATAATTAAATTATAATGATTAACCATTATAATTAACATTAAATTTCAATGAATCAATTAATTATAAAATGTCTTTTGAAATGTAGTAGTAAGGTGAAAAGTCATAGAAATTTCAAATACATATAAAGTTTAAAGAAAAAATTCCTCTTTTTATAATAGATATAAATGTTGAAAAATAATATCAAACATATCATTTTTCCATATTATGTTTGATTCAGTTTTCTATAGAACATAAAATAATATTGAAAAATGATATATTAATATATAAAATCTACAATATAAATGATTGGAAATTGAAATTCATTATCAATTTAATTAAAATACAATCAAATATATTGATTCATAAAAACTTCATTCATACAACAAAGCTTAATTTTTTGATAATATCGAAAGATCACATACATATATACATATATAATAATATCAAATTATTATACAAATTAGTATACTTCTAAGGATATATAAAATCTCATTTTAAAATTTACTAACAAATTAGATTGTTATTCATCATTCAATATGAATACATGCACCAAATAGTAGAGCTTGTGTATTCTTGTATCCTCATTTTCTTTATCTCATTCAAATTTTCTTTTTTCTCCATCTTATTTATTCTCTAAACCACAACAACCTCAAATATGCTTGTAAACTATACATACATACATACATAAATACATATATAATATATATATATATATATATATATATATATATATATACACCACATGATATCATAAGTGTCAACTAATAACCATAAGTTAAAAAAAAACTTTTCACTTATAGTGTTTAAAAAGATTAATGTTGAAATTATAAGTACACATAAATTAAAATTTTTTTTGAATTGTAGTGAATAATTAGTTCTTAGTTAGAAAGACATTTAATTTGTAGTGGAAGCTTCAATTAAACATAGTGCATGGAAAATGACATCTATTATAATATAGTATAGTTAGATAAGTTAAGAATATTTTTTATATTTTATTTCAAAATGTCAAATGAATAAAATTGAAAAGTTAGATAAAAATGCGAAGATACCAAAAATTGAAAATTGGCTCCAGATTAAAAGATTAAATTTTTTAGTGTTACAAAATAAATATCTTATTTTCATATAATTTTATCAGTTAATTATTGTCATATTTTGAAGTCTTCACTCTATAAAGGTGAATGTAACACATTCAAAAACATCATTTTCCGTTGTATAGTTTAATGGTCATTGAGCTATAAATTCATTGAATGTGAACTTGACTATCTCATCCTAGAGGGTGGGCAACTACTCATGTCAAATTTTTCTTAAAGGCACTAATTTTTTCTTTTTTGGGATATCTAATTCATGACCATGTTTATGAAAATAAAACGAAATATAGTTCACATTGTTAGATATTTATATTTAACTAACAACCGTTTTAATACATTTTGTATAGTATAGCGACCTAAATGTATCTTGTATCATTATATATTGTAACACCTTGTTTCAAATCGTTTCGTAGTTCGGGGCTGTAACCCGAAGATCAGTTATCATAAGGCTTCGGGCCTTAGGGGAAAGAGAGATTTAGACCCCCCCCCCCCTTGGTTGTGGGTAATGTAGATTAGGTGATCGGAGAGTTCGAGTGGTGCTTTGGAGCCCGAGGGTATAGCCGTAAGTGATAGTTCTGACCTTTTATGAATTTTGGATTTAAGTTTGGAAAGTTTTAAGGCAAATGAGAGTTGATAGGATTGTAGAGCTTTTCATTACCTTTCTGTGGATATAAAGATCGTCGAAATCAAAGTTGAAACGAAGAAGTTATTACCGTTTGAAGTTAGGGCGGTTTTGGGTTAAGCCGCGTATATTGGACGTAGTAGAGCATCCTTAGTACGCTGGGCGTAAATTAAGTACGTTGGGCGTACGTGATCAGTGCCCAAACCCCGTTTTCGTGGTTTGAGCCCTATTTAAGCTCCTTACCCCCCCCCCCCCCCTTCCCCCAACCTATTCCATTATCAGCCTCCACCTCTCCAACACCCTCTCTTGAAACCCTAACCCTAGATTGAGCCTTGTGAGCAAAAAGAACGCGTTTTTAAGTGCTTTGGAGTGTTCTTGGTGCACATTGAAAAAGAAGGAACTCATTGAAGAAGTGTTGGTTGCATTGGATCTTGTAGATCCTAACTTTGTTCACCTTGATCTTTCTTCCAGAGGTGTAAAGTTTAAATCTTGATGATGAAATTGTTAGATCTACCTAGTTTTGGGTGTGGTGAGCTTTTGGTCACTTTAATTGCATAAAGTTTAGATCTTGAAAGCTTGTGACCTTGTTATGGATAAAGTTGGAAACCTTATCCATCTAAACATCATTTTGATTCAGATCTGAAGGTCGGAGACTTGGAATTAATGAATTAAGTTAAAAAAAGATGCACTTTTAGGTCCCTTTGAGACTTAAAGACTAGATCTTGTTTGTTGGGACCATTCTGATGGATAAAGTTGGAAATTTTATCCATTATGGGGCTATTATGAACCATAAAAATGTGATCTTGGCCCTTTTATCCCTTCTATTTAAGAGTAGTGATGTCTTATTGGGTTAAGAACTTAGGGTTTTGGACATTAAGCACTTTATAGCTATGCAAAGTCATAAAGTAGGAAACTTTATGACTTAGGACATCATTTTGGGCTTGGATATGATTTTTTGACGTAAGGGCTTACTGGAATAAGCTCTTAATGGAGTTTTGGGACTGGGTTGCGTACGTTGGGCGTACCTGGTGGTATGTTGCGCGTACACCGTCAGCGCCCCACTTTTGGTCAACATCAGAGTACGCTGGGTGTACTCTCTTGGTACGTTGGGCGTACTCTCTTGGTACGCAGGGCATACTCCGCTAGGAAGAAATATTGATTTTTGGACCTTGACCATTGACTTTGACTTTGACCAGAATTTTGACCAAGTTTGACCTAAGGGCATTTTGGGTAAATTAATTTACAGTTTGAGATTTGGGTTGCTGTTAATTATATAGGTAACTGCTAGAGATAACTTCTAGAGCAGTGATTGGTGCAGCTATTCTTTCAGGCTGTGAGGTGAGTTTTCTCATTGTATCTGTGGCTCGAAGGCACCAATGTCGACCCATTACTTGATGTGTAGAATGTTAGTTGTATATGTGATACTTGCATGAAAGACCGGGATTTGGCCCCTGGCAATTATATGAAAGGCCAGGATTTGGCCCCTGACAATTATATAAAAGGCCAGGATCTAGCCCCTAGCACTTATATGTAAGACCGGGATTTGGCCCTTGGCATTATAGGGAAGGATCGTGGTTCGGCCCATGGCATGAAATGATTATAAGACTATGATCTAGCCCATAGCATTTATTTTGTATGGTATGTTGTATTTTGGGGAAATCACTGAGTTTTGTGCTTACGGTTTCATATTTATGGTTTCAGGTACTTTTGGTTCGTAAGGGAAGGGTCCGACGTGACTGCATTGCATCCCCAGAGTTTTCCGCATTGGCAATTAATGATATTACTCTGATGTTTAAATAATATATTCACTTTGATCGGTTTTGGAATAACTCGTTTGTATGATTTATTATTTTAAAAATGAAAATTTTACCTTAGATTTTCGGGACATTACAAGTTGGTATCAGAACCTTGGTTTGAGGGATTCGAGCACACTCTCGGTGTGTGTCTGAACTCAAACTGAGGATTTATAAAATCTTTCAAAAAAGAAAAATGATTTTCCAAAAAGGTTTTTAAGTAAAAGGGGTGCGATGCATGCAATCAGCCGAGCTCAAGTAAGTATTCCCAAAATACTCATATATGTGTTATGATTATTGTTTTGGTATGAGTATATGAGTATTGCATGCTAGATTAGGGCTAAGGATCTGCTCAGGATTGCATGACAGAATGCTAGGAGGGATGAATGTATATGCTTGTTGATTGAGCTTTTGGAATTGCATGCTAGTATGGATTCCAGATGTTGGATATAATTGCTCGATTTGTGATGCCTCGTAGCCTAGGAGGAATTGTATGTTATGTTAGAATTGTAAGTTATGTTGGTGGAATTTATTGCTAAGTGTATGCTTTAAAAATTGTATATGATTAGAATCATATAGCCCTGTAAGGATTGATTTGGTCTTATTTCTTGTTCCTTGTCTGGTTGTGGACTTAGGGTAGAATCATTCATTCGACAATCTATGTAACACCCTTAAAAATTCAAGCCAGTTTAAAACTTTTTAAAACATTTAAAACCATTAAGTTTTTACAATTTGTTTTCAAAAGAGTTTAAACATCAGAGTATCCCCAGAATCAAATCATGAAAATATAGTGAGGTGCACGATCACGCATTCGCCTTCCCGCGATCATCAGAAGTACCTGAAACATAATCAACAACTGTAAGCCTGAAGCTTAGTGAGTTCCCCCAAAATACCAACGCCATACATATATAACCATACCATATAAACAAACACAACATGCATAATGAGCCATCAGTCTGAATGGACCGCCTCTCAGGGCCATCAGTCTATCTGGATCGCTCTCCGATCCATCGGCAAGTCTGGACCGCCTCTCAAGGCCTTCAGCCTATCCGGACCGCTCGCCGGGCCTTCGGCCTGACTAGTAAGCCCTAGCTGGGTCTGCAGTCTAGCCGGTCCACCC